GATTTCAGTTCATTTCAAGGTTTAGCTGTGGGTGTCTGCTTCTACTTCCCCAGCTGCTGGATGAAGGCTATACAATGGCATATGAATTAGTCATCAATCTCATTATCATGAGAGCATTTAAGGTAGCCTCTCCTCTGTTGCTTAGATTGTTAGTTGGTATCATCTTTGTAGATCTCCAGATTTCCCTAGTGCCTGATTTCTCTTTAAACCTAAAATATCTTCCTCTCTTATGGTATCTCCATTCTTGTTATCTTCTTTTCTGCCCCTGACTCAAACTTTCTGCTCCCTCATGTCCTCTGCATCCCTCCTCTTCTCCCCTTCTCATTCTCTTAGCTCCCTCCCCTATCTTCTCGTGCTCCCAATTTGCTCTGGTGTCTCTCTTAGTGTCCTCCTTGTTTACTATCATCTCTGGCAGTGTGGATTACAGGCTGGTAATCCTTTACTCTGTGTCTAAAATCCACATATGAGTGAGTACATACCATGTTTGTCTTTTTGTGATTGGGTTACCTCCCTCAGAATGGTTTCTTCTAGTTCCATCCATTTTCCTGCAAATTTCAAGATTCCATTGTTTTTTTCTGCTGAGTAGTACTCCATTGTGTAAATGTACCACATTTTCTCTATCCATTCTTTGGTTGAGGGGCATCTAGGCCTCTTCCTGTTTCTGGCTATTACAAATAGTGCTGCTATGAACATCGTTGAACATATGTCCTTGTTGTATGAATGTGCTTCTTTTGGGTATATGCCTAAGAGTGGAATTGCTGGATCTTGTGGTAGACTAATGCCCATTTTCTTGAGGAGTCGCCATACTGATTTCCAAAGTGGCTGTACAAGTTGGCACTCACACCAGCAGGGGAGGAGTGTTCCTCTTTCTCCACATCCTCTCCATTTTAGATTCCTCTATTGAGAATTGTCTATTCAGTTCTGTACCCCACTTTTTAATTGGATTATTTGGGGGTTTGGAGACTAGCTTCTTGAGTTCTTTGCAAATTTTGGAGATCAGTCCTCTGTCAGATGTGGGGTTGGTGAATATCTTTTCCCAATCCGTGGGCTGTCGTTTTGTCATGTTGACTGTGTCCTTTGCCTTACAGAAGTTTCACAGTTTCAGGAGATCCCATTTATCAATTGTTGATCTCAGTATCTGTGCTACTGGTGTAATGTTCAGGAAGTGGTCTCCTGTACCAATTAATTCAAGGGTATTTCCCACTTTGACTTCTATTAGGTTGAGTGTAGCTGGATTTATGTTGAGATCTTTGATCCATTTTGACTTAAGTTTTGTGCAAGGCAATAGGCTTGGGTCTAACTGCAGTCTTCTACATGTATGCAACCAGTACACCAACTGTCTTCTGTTCCCCTTCGGATCTGTGACACCTTGATTACACTATTTATTGGAGCACTTGAAATTCTTTATTACAGTAAAACAGGTACCAAGAAAATTCTTACAAAGCAATTTAAACTGCTGTCCCAAATATCTAATTTCTCAGTGCAGATTAATATCAGGATTTTGTGTTTAGGAAGCATCAATAACTAATTGAACTAGGAAATGGAAGAAGGACAGTTGAGGACACAGGTGACGAACTTGCTTAGAGGCATGGCAGGCAGTAGAGCTGACCATCAATTGGCTCCAGGGTTTAGTTACTAATTATTGTTTAGTTTTGTCCTGATTTAACTCTCTGTCCTGATTTAAAAAAAAAAAAAAGCAAGATAGTTCAGAACTACCATGCCCTATGATCTTTGTAGGCATGTGAAAGACACACTGATTTCATTACAAATTCTTATAAAAAAAGAATTGTATCCAGTAAACATGCACGTGTAATAGAAAAAAAAAGTCATGCTCAAAGCCTGCCACTTAATTGCTTTCCAAGGATGAAGGGACTGACTGAAAGGTGTTTATGTACTATATGCTTGCATGTACGTACGTATTACATAATATATATAATATATATAAACATGTTATATGTGTGTGCATATATATATATATACATATATATATCTGTTACAACTTAGATGAAGTAGACAAATTCTTAGAAATATAAATTGTCAAAATGGATCCAAGAAGAGACAGATCATTAAAATAAACTATAGTAAGCAAAATAGCAAATCAAAATTAAAAAGCCCCCCAGCAAATATAGTAAAAAGATTTCATGAGAAAAAAAAAGAGTGAGATGAAGATCCCTTATGAATTTATAGACAAAAGTCCTCAATAAAATCTAGCAAATCTGGGCTGTGTCACAGTGCAGGTAGAATGCTTGTCTGGCATGACGAAGGCCCTGGACTTAGTCCCTGATACTGAACAAGTCAACAAAACCAAAACACTAGTAAATCAAATCCAGCAACACATTTACAAGGCTTAGAAGTCAGGATTAAGAGCTAATGCAGTGACATGGGTGGTTCACAATATGAAAATCAATTGATGGAATACAGCACTTTGATAAAGTACAGCTGACCAAAAGTATGTGACCCAACTCAATTGATGCTGAAAAGGCACCTGAAACATCCAATTTAATCAATTGGGATTTACTCAAAATAATAAAGGATGAATATGAAAACCCACAGTTAATAGAACACCTTGGAAAAGACTTAAAGCCGATCCCTTCCAGTAGGACCAAGATCAAGATACTTGCCTTCACCTTGCTATTCAGTAAAGTACTAGAGTTTCTAGTCAGAGAAGACAATTACACAAAAAGTACAAGGCATCCAGATGGAAAGGATGTAATACTGTGTCTATTCTCAGAAGGCCTGTTCTTACAGAATCCACAGAAACCAACCCCAATAAATTAACCTAGGAATGCTGGAAGATACATGAATAAAAAGCAGCTATACTTCTAACACCAGCAATGAATGGCTGGAGAATGAAGAAAACATTTCTATTATAAGGTACCAGGAATGCATTTAGTAATGAAGCAAGAAACGTGTATGCTGGGGAGTATAAAATACAAGGAAGGAACTGAGCAAACTGAGTAAAGGAAAGATGAGCTGTGTAAGGACCTGGCAGGTGATGCTCAGATGTTCACTACCCGGATGACTAGACTAGGCAGGGCCACTGTAGATGGGACTCAGGTCAGATCTAGTAGACTGGGGAGAAAGTATGGATAGGAAAAATCAAGGAGACTCACAGAGCTAGAAGCTGGAGGAGAAGATGGGAAGCCTGGCTTGATGGGGTGGTTGGAAGCAATGAAAATGGAACTTGTGGGTGGTTATGGGTAGGGTGGATCCTGCAGGAAACTTAGAAATTGAGTTACGGGCCCAGGCAGGCAGACTAGGCTGGGGCACCGGATGTGAAACCCAGGCTAAATCTGCAGAGAAAGCATAAATAGTGGGAAATCAGAGACTCCCCTGGATGAGGAAATGGGAAGTCTGGATGGGTGGGGTGGCTGAAAGCAGTGCAGAAGGGGCCTGTGGGTGTTGCAGGTAGGGTGGGACCTGGCCCCTTTTTAGTTTTAAATACGTATGAGAATCATTCCTTTAACCTGACAGCCTCTTTATTAGAACATTTTCTGGGTCACTTACATGCACTTTTATTCATTATCTTTTAAATAAACATGTTCTAGCTGTTGGTCTCTACGGATACCAATGCCAAGTAAGTCACTCACAGCACATGCAGGTGCTACTTTAAACAACCATCATCTTAATTCTCCAGAAGGCATTAATCCCACTTCCTCTTAACCTCTGGCAAGCATTAGCCAGGATTCTGCTTTAACTTTTGCTCCACCCCCTTTCTCCCATAACACATTCCAGGCAACCACTTTCCAACTAGAGTAGGGATAGAATAGAAAACAGCAACAAACCCCTCGCCTTGGAAAAGCTGACTTCAACTTCAGGCACCACCACCAAAGTCCTACTTATGCACTCAGGGCATGTCATTCCTACGACTCCTCGGCATTCTTATGGCCTTTCCAGTCTCATAACTGGAACTGGAAAGTGTTGTCCTACCTTCTCTATTCGGATGTAAAACCACTTTTTCTTTGCCATTCAAATTTCTTTATCTCTAAAATTCAACCTCCAAACCAACTACTACTAAGTTGCCCATCACTGCTTATGTACTGGTTCTACCATTACCAATAGTTTGAAAGCCAATGACCCTATACACTCCAGCCTCTTATTTATGCATCCTTGATTCTAATTCATGACTTTCTATTAAGTGCTCATCCTATGAGCAACTTTTTCAGAAAGTGCTTTTCAGACTCGACAAGATATAGATGCTCTCCTTTGTTAAACACTGCTTCGCCTAAGAACTTTACAGGATAAGCTGAACCAACCAGACTCAATCTAAACTTTGGGCAGTCGGATTTTCCAGTGTATTGACATTTTTCAAATTAAAAAAAAAAAAAAGTGCAATGTCTTTGATGTCCCAGCTTCTTCTGGGGCCAGGAAGGAAAGACTCTTTCAGCTATTGCAGAATTGAAGGCAAGTCAGAAACACAATACAAACAGTGGTCCTAACAACACCATGGTACTTACTAAAAGATGTATTTTCTTAAATATTTGTATAACAATTTACACATTTTTTACTTAAATTCTTAACAAAACAAAGTATTTCAAAAAAGTATCAGACCTAACAAACTACCATCACACCTACACAGATTAACCATAGTAACAAATGGTGCCTACCAGAACATTCATTGACTTCAAAGTATATTTTATTTTCTCAGAAAACAATTTCCCAAAATGAAAGACTGTCGTGAATTTTTAGCTTCATTAATAAATCTCAATACATCAAACATTTATGTTTTTAAATGAGGCAGGCCCTCAATTGACAAAGAAGAATAAGTCAGGGGGTGGGATTTCTATGTTCCTTTATTACCAAGAGAAATAAAACTGTGGCCTAGCAGAAAGAAGAACTGGAATTTCCAAGGACTCAGAACCTGAAAAGTCCAGGCACTGGATCAATTCAGCCAGAAGGCATGATTCCTGATTCAGTACACAGCATTGTTTCTGTAAACAAATCCAAGAGGATAGAGCCGCTGCTGAATCACTGAGGATCCCAAGCAGAATTGGACCTACCTGGTTGATCCCGGAGGCAGGGATCTTGTAGGACTGCATCTTCTGCTTCAGCAACTCTGCGTCACTGTGACGGAATGGGCACCCTGACGACGAAACACAAGCCAGCACAGCACAAGGTCATTTACCAGGACTCAACACAGTGCCATACTTGAGAGGCTACCGAAGTGCTCTTAACTGTCTAACAGCTTATTAATAAAAAATCAATTGCCCATGGATGCAACTGCTTTCCTTTCTGTATAAATGAGGATTAGCTGCTCAGTTATCAGGATACTACAGACTCAAGAGTTACATAAAACAGGCCAGCACTCTCAGGCTCACATGGCCATTCATCAGGAAGGGAAAATAGCCAGAACCCTGCCATGCTCTCACCAGAACAGAAAATCACAAAGTAGACATAACAGTTTACCTCAAACTTATATACTCTAACATTTCTGTAGTCTAAAAATATTGCATAAAGATATAAAAGAGAAGGGATATATATAATAGAAATAAAAATATCCAAACTCTAAGAAATATAAATATATCACATCGATTCAGACATAAATTCTATGCCTATCTCCTGAAAACCAGAACCCATATAAATTTTGAAGAATCATGGCAGTAAACAATGTGGACAATCAGGAATTGTTTCAGAGCAAAGCCACACATAGTGTATGCTTCATCACTGTGCTTCATGAGCATCATAAAAGGATGGACAATGAGAAATATTTGCACGAAGAAGAACAGAGACTATTCAGGCAAAGAATGATAGATCTACAGGCTAACTCGGAGTAACTGCACATTTATATGAAATTGGTGAAAATTAGGGGCTGAAAAAATAACAGAAAAGGGCCAAAAAGCCAAACAAACGCATTCATCAAACAATTTAACTATAAATAAAGCCTCCATTGTACAACTATGGATCTCTATAAACTATGCAAAATTTATAGCATATCCTGATTCTAGATTTAAACAAATAAATTTGAGTACAAGAAGCATCTTGAGAAAATGTATAACATATTATAGAGTCTAACATTCCTGGTAGGTTGACCATGCGGGTGGCTCTACATTGACTGACTATATGGGCAGTACAAATGGAACATGGTGAGTTATTTAAAAGAAAAACCAGACAGATGAAGTTGTAAGGTGGGTGGAGGTGGATCTGGGAGGAGTCAGTGAGGAGCAGTAGGGATGCATATGATCAAAAAGCATGAATACATGTATGAAATTCTCAAAGGATAAAATATCATATTGAATTTTAAAAAAATAACTTAGTCTTGTAGTGTCTGGGTTTGAAATAACAACTCTCTCTCTCTCTCTCTCTCTCTCTCTCTCTCTCTCTCTCAGAGAGAGCACTGAAAATATGTTAGTTATCATCATTATTCTTGAAAAAATAAAGTTATAAAAATAGAAAATTCCCAATGAGAAAGAAATGATGGTACACATGAGAATTGTTGGTTATTTCCAGAATAATTAAGGTACATAAAAAAAAATGAGACAGACTGAACAGAATCGCCCAAATTATACTTGATAGGACCATATAAAAGGCCTGAAAGACAAATCCAAGAAGAAACAGAACAACTCCAAGAAAGGTTTTTCCAAGATATACTCACTCACTCAGAAGAACAGAGGAAGCAAACCAGAACTTGGCCATTTTAACAGATGATATAAACGCATTCTGTATTCACATTATTCATTTCAAAGAGAATGATTTTCAGGGTCAAACAAACAAGATAATAAAAGATAGGTGAATGCTCTAGCCGCTAACACTAGTGTTTAAAGGAGAGACAGAGAGGGAGAGGGAGAGGGAGAGGGAGAGGGAGAG